AAAGGGTTTTAAAGTTTAATAATGTGAGATTTCATGGGACTGTGGGTTTTTAAACCATCTGCAAATCACCTTTATGTTCAGGCTTCTAAAATCCTGGTGGAAACTACATGCCAACTGGAACACATTACAATCAAGGTCAAGGGTGAAAAGTTGCCTTGCTGGTAAAACAGTGTTTAGCAACTTTACCAGCTCTCAGCCTGCTCATGCAGGGAGGGATCAAACACAGGAGTAGAGACATAAGAGATGAAACCAACCACAAGGGATTCAGTATTTAAGCAACAAGCTAAGATGAGGAGGTCATAGCATGCCCTCTCTCCCATAATCACATATGTCAATAGCCAAAAAGGGGAGATTTTGAGATCTTTCTTTCTTCCTAGAAAGAGCTACAGCCATCATTTGTTCATTCATTCATTCATTCCTGATTGAACACCAATTTTGCTGTCTAGTGAGAGAGACATCAGGAAAGTAAGGACACACACACATAGTCACCAGTTGAAAAGAGTGCCATGAGGGAAGGCCACAGTACTTTCAGAGTATGTAGCAGATCAAGTGATGGAAGACTGAGGGATTGTTTACCTGAGGAGAAGTGGCTCTTTGAGCACTGAAGTGTGCATTGGTGTTAACTAGGAGAAGAGTGTGGGTGGAGGGAGGGAGACATAGGAAGAGGCTGATGGTGGAGAAGATGTGGTGCCTCTTTGAAGACTAGAAGGAAGAGCTATGAGGGGAAGGGCACTGACTTCAGGGGTGAAGGAACAAAATGAAGCTGGAGAGAGAGGTAGGGTGAGTCATCAGTGTTTTGACAGTCATGTCAAAGATGTTAGTCTTTGTCCTAAAAGCAGTGAAAAGCTACTGAAGACTTAGAAGGAAAGCAATATATTCACACTAGCATTTTGACATGTGCACTGTGGGTGAAGTGTGGAGACAGCATATGAGTGGGAGGAGTGATGGGGCAGAGGCCCACAACACTAGTCCAGGGAGAAGGGCCAGGGAGTGGTCTTGGGCATAGAAGCTTTCAGGATTAAGGTAAGAAGTTGGCCTCCTCCTTTAGCCTCTTGCACACTAGTTACAAACATGAGAGGTTAAATATGAGATTGATTTATAGAACAGTCAGCTTCTTGTAAAATATCTTCTTCATTTTAATGCATAAACATTTCTCTAGTACCCACTATGGTAAGTACTACTAAAGATTAATGAGAAGAAGAGGAGAGAAGGGAAGGGAAGAAAAGAGAGAGAAGAGAAGAGAAGAGAAGAGAAGAGAAGAGAAGAGAAGAGAAGAGAAGAGAAGAGAAGAGAAGAGAAGAGAAGAGAAGAGAAGAGATCTGGATTATAAAACTTCAGATCAGTGAGCAACATACAACATAGTCACAGATCTCTATGAAGTGGTAAATGTCATCTGAGACAGTTAACAGAGTCTCTGTCAGGGCTTTTTTTTCATATTCAGCAGTATATCTGACCCAAGGGATACAATTTAGTCAAGGTTTCGATGGCGGATGCCCCAGCAGGTTGCTGTGAGTCACAGACTTCAAAGTCTAGGATGATGCTTGTCAGGCTGAAGAATGTTTGTGGAAAGTGACTTGGGTGGTTTTTCTGTTCTGCCTAGTCAGTGGCATCTTTGCAGAGGCCAGAATACAGGACTGCCTGTGGGCCACTCAGAACACAGGCCTGCCCTCTCCTGCTCTCCCAGGCCTACTTTCCCCACTCCTCCTCTTTCTGGAGTCAAAGTACAAGCTGGCAGGTCATTTCAGAATGAGGATACTGAAAACACACAGAAAATGTAGATCACCTTTAGGAACAGGCACGTTTGCCCCCACCAAGAGAATGATTAAATACAGAGGGTGCCAAAAAAATGTATGCACATTTGAAGAAAGAAAAATTGTAATACTCAAAATATACCTATAACAAAAGATGAAGACAAGTCACACTTGACTCCTGCAATTACGAGAGGTGCTCAGTGGTTCCCATCAGCCTCCAGACACTTCTGATTACGACAAACTACTTCTTGAGCAACATTGACCAAAGTGTTCTTTTGGCACCCTCTGTGTTTGTAGATTTTCAGCAAAAAATACCTACCATGGTATAACTGTGCCAGGTCCTACTGAAGATTCATTTATAAAAGTGGAACAAAGGGGGTAGGAGGAGCAGGAAGGAAAGAAGTCTAAAAGAAAAGAAACAAAACAAAAGGAAAAAAAATGTACCCAACACCACATGACGAATGTAAGTTGTTTCAAGGCCTTTAATCCAGTTATGGAGAAAGTCTGAACCACTCCCCCCCGGGCACAGTGACATGTGTTCTCAAGTCACCTAATGAATCATTCAGTGTGTACCAAGTGTTAGCACACTGACACCATCTCCCATTGTACTTACCTGTGATGTGGTCAAATAGAAAGGACTGTGCCCAGACTACACCAGGAGCACTGCACATAATCACAACCAGCCACTTCCTTCATAGTGGCATTTCCTCCCCGTCCTGCTGGCAGCTAGAAGCTTCCCCAAATCAGACAAGCTTGCAAATTCTTTTACAGCTCCTTTTCTAAAAATCTCTTCAGACACAACGTACATCAACAAAAATAAAATACTTTGCCATCTCTTTTTGACTCCCTTTTATTTGTTTTCACTTAGAATGCTGTTTTCCAATAGTCCTGAAGGAAGGCCCAATTCAGTAACCCAAAATAGGTGACATGGAGGGAATTTTCTTGATCAAAGCTGTGGATACCTTTTGGGATGAAATCCGGCGCTTCCAGAGTAGGCCTGATGAGCTCACTGTCACACATCTTAAAGCACGTGTGTAAACTTGCTCAGGAAGACAAAGAGGCAGGTTGTGGGAAGCCGAAGAGCACAACTAAGATCTCACATGGGCCCCGTTCCACCCAGAGTCAGTGCTCATGTACACGTCACCTCCACTGTCCTGGCTATTTCCCAGGCAGAGGGAACAGCAGCTTGAATAGTCCTTAGCAAAATTCTTCAAAACACCCGAACACTGACACACACGTGCACATACTAGTACACTCATGCACACATGTACACACTCACAAACACACACAGTCAGGCAACATTGTCTTTCCCTGCCCAGGAGTGAGATGAGTATATCCAGAAGTAAATTTTCCTAAATGTGCTCCCTCCAGGGAATCTGAGGGATCCACTCTCTTTCCTTATGATCTAATTTATTTTAGGTTTCCCCTCATCTCTCACTTCTCCTTCTGTTAGCTCTTGATTATGGGAGAAGCAGAAAAGAGATCAATAAGATTCCTAAACAGTTGGCAATGTATATAAACTGATAAATGCCTCCTGCCTCATGCCCTGGGCCAACACTCTAAACTCTCTGGCTTTAATTTCCTTACATATAAAGTGAAGAATTAAAAGAGAATGTTCTAAGATATTTGTATTCTTTAATAAAAATTTACAGTGAATTTTACAGTGTGTTCAGAACTGCATTATAACCAGGGGCCTGAAGATGTGTAAGAAAATGCCCTAACTCCTAAATATGAGGGAGGCTGCAATGTGGGTCATTGGAAAGAGAAAGTCCTTCAGCCTCACACTCTGCCACTTATGAACTGTTGGACCTTAGACAAGTTAATTAACCTCTCTGGGCCTCCATTTCCTCATCAGAGAAATGAGAGTAATGTCCACCTGACAGTTTTGTGGAGGTTTGAATGAAAGAGCAAATGCAAAGCAGCCATCTGATGTGTCGCATGGACTAGCCATGTGGTGCTGTCCCCCACCTCTGACCCCTACTTGCCTCAAAAGCCTAGAATAGAGGTTTATTTAGGGCACCATGGGGCACAGAGTAAAGAGAACTTGTGTTGCCACGCAGCTGTCCAGCCATCTGTCCCTCGCTCTTACCCCTAAACTGACTCTTTTGAGGACATTGCTCATACACCATGCATCTCCCCGTTTGGCCCCCAAAAGATGGCTGGTTAGCCAATGACAGGTAAGATTCCTCGAGGAAGGAACAGCCTAAGACAGGCACAGTCGCATGGGGGCCATCAGGAGAAATCTCGGGGCTGATGGAGGTGGGCATAGGTCCTCAACTGCCCCCCAAAGAGACTGGAGGTCTTCTACCTCTGTAGCTACATTCCTTCCCGCAACCTGCTTCGGAAGTGTCCTGATGATGTGATAGTATCTGTCCTCAACATAATAATCCTATCTCCCTGGGGTCGTATGCATATGGGTGTGTGAAGACAGAGCATTTGTCTGGTCATGCAGATGACGAACTTTTGGTAATAGCAGCTTGCAGGCATGGGTAATCTGTTATGAGCAAGTTCTCTGAAATGAGACTCACAGACTGTGGAGAGAACAATGCTACCGTATTTGCCGGCGTATAAGACGACTGGGCGTATAAGACGACCCCCTAACATTTCCACTCAAAATACAGAGTTTGTTATATACTCGCNTGTGCAATTTACTGTATGTTAATTATGCCTTGATTAAAAAAAGAACTCTTTCTGGTATTAGTCATCAAATCTTACAGTCGAACCTCACATTTATAGAAAAGAACAGAGCCCTGACAATTCAGAAACTCTCTAATTCAGCCTTAGAAGTTTGGATGGCATCCCAAGCTGAACTGTGTCAGCTAGTATCATCAACACGTGCCTCTAACATATGACACATTAACAGAAAATCAGTTCTGCTCAGTCTGGGGAAGGTATTCCTCCAAATATCCATGGATGACTGAGCTCAGAACACAGAATCACTAATTCCAGGTGAAGAGATGGAGAAGGAAAGGTGGTTCCTGGAGACTTGCTCCAGATATTCCTTCAGTGACACATCTCAATTCCCCATCTTTGTAGGTACACACAGGACCAGGAAATGACCTCCAGAATTGGGGCAGTCCCCTTGGCTGAGCCACCTTCCCACTGTTGTTCCTTCTGGCAGCACTAAGGTGGAGCCATGCCAGAGTTTTGCAGTCAGGAAGTCCTCTTCTGACACGATGTTAGGATTTTGTTCCAGTTTCAATCAGGGTGTACAGAGCCATGCAAATGACCTCGCTTTGTTTGCCTGGACATATGTACCTATAATAAATGACGAGAGCTCTGTGCCCAAAGCACAGAAGATATAAAACCTGCGTGAATCCTAACTTCCATTTACTTTTCACTTTCTCCTGCTGGTGCCCAAGACCAAGATGGAGGGAATGACTAAGGATAAGGTGGAGGAGACAAGAGAGTTAGAATGGGCCTTGATACCGCCAAGAGAAGTTTCCCAAGTAGATGGAATTGTGCTAGAAAAGAATATATGCAACACCTGGGATAAAGTCTGGAACTTTCAAGCCAAGCCTGATGACCTGCTCATTGCTTCCTATCCCAAAGCAGGTATGTACTCGCACATAGATATGAGAAGGAGGAAATGGAAATCAGAGCATGAGCCAGCTCCTTTTAGGACAATGCAGTTAAGTTTAAGGGTTGAGGAAAGCAGTTTCCTTGTCTATTCATCAGATAGAAAGGCAAAGTATCTGAAAATTTTTTTCTCTAAAATTATAAGGTTTTCTTTAGAGGTAGAATAGTTGATTTATTAAAAATATATAACTAGCCAAAGCAGATTTTGCAGGTCAAAACATCCATGCTAATCATTTCCTTCTTTCTTTCAGTAATTATTTATCAAGAATCTTCTAAACACCAGAGACTAGCACCAGGCATAGTAATAATAGACAAAATGCTCAGTATCTTTGCCCTGCTGGCACTTACAGTCCAATTTGGAGAAAGACACTAAACCATTAAAAAGATCATTACACAGATCTTTGATTACAACATGTGCTATAGGCTAAGAAGGAAACATAACGTGGGTAATGAAAGCATATTGGCAGGTCCTAATTTAGATTAAGGAAAGTATAGTGAGGAAAGTCTGAACTACTGTGCTATTATACAAGGAGTGTGTTAGTTTGTTTGCTACTACAATGCAGTACCACAAATAGGGTGGCTTAAACAACAGCACTTGTTTGTCTCACAGTGCTGGAGGTTGGAGGTTGAAGGTCAGAAATCAAAGGTCATCAGGGTTGGTTCCTTCTGAGGGCTATGAAGAAGGGATCTGTTTCAGGCCTCTCTCTTTGGCTTGCAGATGGTCATCTTCATGTTCACATGGTGTTCTCTCTATATGCATATCTGTCTCCAATTTCCCCTTTTTATAAGAACACCAGTCATATTGGATTAGGGCCCACCTTAATGATGTCATTTTAACTTTATTACTTCTATAAAGACACTAATTCAAAATCAGGTCACATAAGATTCCAGACTCCCATCTGCTACTATCTAAGTCAGCCTGACATAATCCTAAATCGTGTTCCTCAATCCCAAATCAGCCTCTTTTCTGTCTGTGTCAAAGGTTGTGTTCCCTAGGAATCAGACCCTGAGTGAGAAATAAGTATGGGGGATGTTTACCAGAAAGTGATCATGGGGTCACTTTTCTAGAAGGGAAGGGAAGGAAGCAGGATTGAGTAGAGGGGGAGGTTGAGCTTCAACTCAGTCTCAGCAAAAGTCTCATCCAACCCCAATGGTATGCTCTAAAGCTGAGATGGCCCTTCAGAGATGGTGATATTCCACTTGGAGTGAGAGGACTGGGTGTCAGCCAGTCACTGAACACAAGCTGCCTTAGGAAAGGGACATGACATTTGTCCTGGAGAGGGGTGAATAGCTAAGGGCTGTCTGCCAGCAGTACCCCCCAGCAGCTGGGAGAATAAACCCTTCCATTTAGAAGGGAAAATTGGGTGGCATATCCTACACCCTTTACAATCCTCCATATATGGCTCTAGGGCATAATTCTAGCCACAGTTTGCCTGAGCCAGGTCATAACTTGCTGAGATTCTATTCAGGTCAGCATTCATATTGGAGAAGATGCCGGCTAGCAGACAGAGTCCACAGATGGGCAGATAACAGCTTGCACTGGAATTCAGGCAGTAGTGATGACTCTAGGAGCACAGACTAGTGGGTTTCAGATCTCCTGTAACTGGAGAGGTTAGTTATTGGTGAATGTGAATCATCGTGTGAGGTCCCCTGTTAACAAGCTAGGTTGCAAGACAAGTCTTGAGTGTGAGGCAAGAAAGCCTGGCAGAAGGCTCTAGATAGCCTGGACCAACCACTGAGGGAGCACGACTTTCCTGAGATGCTCACAGTATCTACAACAGCAAAGCTGTGTTCAGAGGTAGTGTCCGCATGTAGAGGGCACTTCCTTTGAGAGGCTCAGCCACTCTCAGAATGTAGGAAAGGAATCAGAGCCAGACTATGTGGAAAAGGATCTCTCTGCTGCTCCCAAAGCAGCCTGGATGGGGCAGAGCCAAACATTATGGAGTTAGGACAATAAATTGACAAGGAGGCAACAAAAATGTCAAGGATGAAGCTCATTCTGATTCCAGGAAGGCAGAAGGAGAAATTGGTTTTAATGCAGAGTAGGAACCAACCAGGAGCTGAGTAGATTTGGTACCAGAGTACAGTCTAGAAGGTGGGCCATGGAACAACACACAGGGGCTATCATCAAGGTACTAAGGATAAGGAAACCAGGACCACAGGACACTATCATGAGGGTACCATGACAAGAATGGCATCTTCCTCCCCAGGGATTACCTGAGCAAATGGTCTCACATGTACTGACTTTGGCCCTCCAAGTATACTAGCACCTACACAGTCAAAAAATTAAAATGCTTAATGTTCATTTAGCACCTGCTGTAAGCTGGGTTCTGCCTATTTACTAATTCTCAGAACACGTGAGAATAATCAATGCTCAGTGGACTTAAATAATTTATCCAAAACCACCCAACACATGCATCACAAACATAGGATTGGAGTTAATCTGATTCTACAGCCCCATACACATCCAAACCACCATGCTTCCTTCCAGAGAAACAAGACGACATCAGCCAACTGTCCCAGAAGCCAACAGGGAGAGGCCCTCTGGAAGGCTAAACACTGTAGATGCCAAGGGCACTCAGGGCTGAGAGGGACTTCCCCTGTCCCCAGAATCACTAAGGAGATAGTACAGGAGGCCATAGAGAGAAACAGATATTACCCCCAAATGTAGCAAAGGTTATTTTTCCACTTAAAACCAATTCAACTTTTTTGTAGACACCATTGTTTAATATTACATTGAGTCTTTCTTTGCCTTTTAAAGAGAAATTCAATCTAGATTCCTCCACTTTGTGGATTATTTGCTATTCTTAGTTTTCCTTTCACATTTTCTTCCTTTTCATATTGGATCAATTTCATGATTCTATAAAAAGTGAACAGAGGGCCAGCCGAGTGGCGCGATGGTTAAGAACTCGCTTGGGATGCCAGAGGGCCCCGGTTCGGATCCCACATATGAGGGCCAGTGACACTGCCCTCNTCAAGTATCACCAAGGCAACAACTTCAGAATGACTGAAATTACTAAAATTTAGGAGCTGGGAGATGGGACACCTGAACCGGGAACTCCAGCCTCTGATGGAGGAAGCACTGCTAGTCCTGGTTCCTGTCTCCAAGGAGCCATCATGAGGCTAGCTACACCTGTGAGAGAAAATAGCAGACTGGGTTTACCTGCTGCTACAGGAAGGCGCTGCCACTGCTAGAGGGAGGGGACATCTCTGCTCCCCCCCTCCCCGCACACATTAGGGAGCCAATCCATTTCCATCCTCTTGTCACTCAGTCTCCCTGTTGGCAGAGACTCAGAGGAGTCAGCTGGCTGAGCAGAAATATGAACTGCAGAGTTCCAGCCCTTACATCTCAAAGAAAATCATAGTGTGGTGGACTTGGACATGAGAGGCAATGACTTAAAAGCTAGGCCAGGCAATATCTGACCCTTTTTTAATCTCAAAATTGGTGATATATATTATACCTCATGTAAAAAACAAAAAGAAAGAAAAAAGCTGGAAAAAGATCTAGACTTATCTAAAGAAATGAAGCAATTGACCATAATATCATCAGCAAACTCTTCCTCTCCGTGCCTTCTGCCCTGGGACTCCAGGCAGCAGGGCTTCTCTGCAGATGATCCTGCAGCACCCGTGAGGGCTGTCAGAGGAAAGCAGTGGCAGGAACTGAGGCTGAAGTTGAGAAAAGAGTGTTTCTCAGATGACCTTTAAAATGGTTTCTGTGAAATTTGTGGTTTACCCCAGCACCCAGCATGCCAGAGTAAAAATACTAGAACAGTGGGGAACACAATGGGCTCTAAAATCACTCTATAGTGACAGACCCAATCTTCCTGTTTGGGCTGAATCCATCTTGAAGCTGAGAGAAATTCTGGCAGAGGTGACACCTGGAGAAACCTGACTCAGAGAGACACAAGGACAGTGCTGGATCCACTCCAAAGTGAGTGAAACTTATAACGCTACCAGGCAGCGACTAACTGAGATAAATAAAAGTCTTCCATTCCTCCCACACTGTCAGAATCTCAGAATCAGAAAATGCTTTTAGAAATCATGCAGACATGTGGTCACATGGTTCTTTTTGCATCATTAAGCTGTGTCCTTAACTATGTATTGGGAAACTGGCAGTTTCTACTTAAATTACACATATCTATGACTCAACAGTTCAGGTTCTAGGCTAACATCCAAGAGAAATGAATGCATAAGTCCACACACAGAAAGGAAGTACAAAAATCTCATAGAAACCTTGTTCATAATCACCCAAAACTAGAACCAACCCATATGCCCATCAAAAGAAGAGTAGTTTCTGTATATTTATTCAGTGATATAGTATACAGCAATAGAATAAATAAACTACTGACTCTTGCAACTGTATCAATAAGTGTCAAAAACACTATGTTGAAAGAATGAAGCCAGACACAAAGGAGTACATGATGGTATGACGCCATTGTATGAAGTTCAAGAATAAGCAATANAGGTTGAGTTCTTGGATCCTATGACAAAGAGAAAAAGGTAGTAAAGAGATCCAGGCCTGAGCCCTAGGCATTTGTCAGAATGAGTGTTAGCCTGAAGCAAAGGAGAACGTTTTATTAAACTTGTGCAAACTAGGAAGAAGAGCATTAAAGTATTTCCTGAACCAAGTTCCTCCTTGAATTCTGCTAGAGGCCCTATGCATTTACAGCTCCCTGTGGGAAACTTTTTTCATTTGCAGACTAATAATAATACAAATAATGACATTTTCTTTCTATCACCCCCGGTTCACCCACTAGTGCAGATAATTTGTGTGGCAAGGAATGGCAAAGACAATATGGGTCCAACTGTTCCTGCACAGGATGACCATATCCCTGCCAGCCTCAGAACATGGGATCAGTACTTTGAAGCATCTGTGAATGGAGGATGGGGTGAGTGGATCTCACGGAGTCTTGTGAAGACAGCAATGTCTACTCTACAGTAGGAGGATAGGAGATGGTAATAATTCATCTCTGGAC